AAATACAAATCCACTGTCATTGAGTCCACTCCGATTCAGAATGACCCTATATAGAGTTTCCAAGACTGTCCATCTTTACAGGAGCAGACAACATCATCATTCTCAGGTGGAGCGGCTAGTAGGTTTGAACTGGCAACCTTGTGGTTACCGGGCCAACACCTGACTAAGGTGCCACCTGAGCTCCTCCTCAAAAATAACAGAAGCTACTGTTTATTGAGCTGCCTTTATTCCTCACTTCTCACCCAATCAATTCCGATCTTCCTCACCTGAGAGGTGAGAGCTTGAGTTTCTAAAGGTTGATCGTCTTGGAAAATAGTCTGATGTCTTGCTGATGCCATTCTAGCCCTCTAGGCCTCTGGGAGGTGATAACTGTAGCTTGCATTCTTGTCTGGGGCCTACAATATCCTTCTGCTTATATGCTTTGATGTCGTAGCTCCTTGTTCTACCTATTTAAAATGAACAGAATCATATTGGGTGTTAAAATATACATTTAATCAAAACCATTCAGAGAGAGCTCATCAAGGCCAGCCTTGTAGCATGTCAAAGCTAACGATGCAACGGTTGGCTTGCCTGGTGGGGTCCTGAGCCCATTTGTGTAAGTGTTGCTGGCTTCTGCGGAGGTCAGGCTGGATAGGAGCTGGACCAAGAACTCGGGTGCAGCTTGATCTCCCCGAACGGCAAACCTCAGGAGGAAACCAGATGCTTGTGCCTCCGAGCACCTGGTCCTCTGAGCACGTGCGTTCTTTGGAGGTGCCAGAGGGGCCACACGCACGTCAAGCACAGTGAGCAAAGCAAGCAGAACCCTCCTGCTCATCTGCATTTCAAGGGGTTTGTCAGTCGTCCATTGTTGTTTACCTCCAGTAGGCAATCAGCTACTGTTCCTCCACCATCATGGCTTCAGGCTTTTATCCGATGTTGGCGAAGCACGATCACTTAGCTTATCAAAAGTCCATGTCCGTGTCAATAGTGACCTTTTATGCAAAAGTCTTTCCTGTGCAGTGAGGAGCTAGGGCTTTGTGGTGGCCATTTCAACTGTGAAAAGACCTTTTGGTGTTTTAGTTCATGGATATCTCCTGAAGAATGTGTATTCGTGCAAGTCTGACTAGTGGATTCGTGGGGTACTGTTTCTAATAGGTCAACAGTTCGAAGCCACTAGCCGCTCCTTGGGAGAAAGATGAGACTTTCTACTCTGAGGTATAGTCTCGAAAATTCACAGTGGCCATTCTACACTGACCTAGAAGGTCCCTAGGAGTCAGAGTTGACTCCACGCAGTGAGTTATTTTGAGTTTTAACAGTGCTGTAGATGAATTGACAGATGAATAACCAGGAATGTTCTAGAACTTGTATTTTTCGAATAGCCTTGCTTTAATAGACTCCACCAGTGATTTCCACTTAAAGAGAAGCTTCCCTTTAAGCTTCTCTTTAAGGAATGAGACTGCAAAGATCTCTCTTCAGGAAGCACAGCTGTGGGTAAAGTGAGGCTTACCTCCACACAGTAATTGTTGTCTCCATGAGCTCACTCAGACCCAGCAGATCACTTCATTGGTGTGTGTTTAATACCCAAGGTTCTTCTCTTACAGGAGTTTGATTTCATTGCCAAAGACTTGACTTCTGAGACTGACGATGAAATTCCTGATATTATAGCTTTGGAAGAGGATGATGATTGAGTCTTGCAATGACAGGGCAAACTGTGGACACCACCACCGCCGCCCCCGCCACCACCACCACCAAAGTATGCCTTTTGTTTGAAGATGCAGTTGTGTTACATTAAAATTTATGTGCGCTCATGTGTTTCTTACTGTGGCATTGGGGAATGGTAATCTCTTTGGTCCTAATTGCTGGGAAACTTTGCCAGATATAAACTTCTGTCATATAGCATTTGATTTCATTCATCAAAATTTATCACTGAAATGCTTATAATAAAGATTGAGCTTGATAATCTGGAATCAGTAATTTTTCATAAAAGAAACTGATGTAGAAGGCATTTGTTATTTTTTGGCTTACCAGGATTCATCCCTGCTTCTTTAGGTCACAGCACACGTGTGTGTCTTTGGGGCCGTTAGCAGGTATGCCCATTCAGGCGTTCTGATTTTCCGTAGCTGAGGGATGGGTATATGACCCCACTTGAGAAAACCAAACTCACTGCCACTGAGTGGGCTCCGACTCTTCATGGTGACAAGGACAAGGTAGAACTGCAGTTTCAAGACTGCACCTTTGTATGGGAGTAAAAAGCCCCGTCCTTCTGCACAGTAGAAACAAACACTGTCTGGTCCTGCACCATCCGCACAATTGTTCTTGTATTTGAGCCACTGCTCTACCAAGCATGATGTCCTTCTCCAGGGACTGGCCTCTCCTTTGGTCTAAGGAACATTCTGGGCTTACTTCTTCCAAGACAGATTTGTTTGTCCTTTTGGCAGTCCATGATACTCTGAATATTCTTTGTCAGCACAATTCCAACTCGATTCTTCTTCAGTCTTCCTTATACAATCTATAATGCTAACTCACAGCGACCATATAGGGCAGGGTAGACTTTTCCAGGTTCTCCAAGGTTTCCAGGACTATAATTCTTTATGGGAGTAGAAAGCCCTTCCTCCTAGAGCAGCTGGTGGTTTTGAACCGCTGACCTTGTGCTGGACTGCTAACGACTAAGGTTCCTTAACCCATTCCTAGGGACCCTGGTTAAGGGTTTCCAAAATTGTAAAGAAGTTCTCTAGGCAAGCAAGTGGAATCAAGTGCCCCCTAGTGGTGGATGCGACTAGACAACCACTTCCCTGCAGGAACACGGTGGTTTCCTAGGCAGCTTTCCTTGGTTCTAACACCCACGTCTTTCTTCTAGCTCTCCCCTCGGGGCTGGGCTCCATTCTTGCTCTGAAGCATAGTGCAGAAATGAATTGTGTCTTCATATTTGTGCAAAGACTTTTCAGGATATTTCTCAGTTGAATTATGACGGGAAAGGCCGGAAACAGAAGTTGAAGCGAAACAGATTACACTTGCCACAGTTCCATCGAAACCTTAGTCATCTAACAGGCCTTTTTAACATCCATCGGCTGGCCTTTGATTTTGCTCACTTGGTCCTCGAGGGCCTGGGTTGCTAGTGCTCAGCACAATGCTTATGGTCAAGTGATTAGTGCCCAAATCCAGGTGCCCTTCAAAATACAGTGCGAACCAAACCACTGTTCACCACCTCCATTTCCACCGGTTTTTACCCCTTGCTCCCCTGTCCAAACGCTAAACAACCTTCCTGCTTCTCTTCCGGGTGGCCTTCCCTCTCCCCACTCTTAAATCTGTCCCAGTTCTGTAGTGCTGCTAATACAGAAACATTACAACGAATGCCTTAAACACGCGGCATGCATTTTTTCACATCTTAAGAGTGTGTACGTTTGAATTCAGTGCAGCAGTTCCGGGGGAAGGTTTTGCTCTTGGCCAGCTCCTGGTCTTTCCTCAGCAACGTCTCTCAGTGCCTGGCAATCTGCACATGATGTGGCACTTATCTTTCTCTTGTTACTATTCATCTTTCCCTTATTGTACCCCTTGCTTCTAGTCCTAATCTCCCCTTTAAAGGACAAAACACATTTTATTGGCTTATAATTCACCTACAATTCATTAGTCCAATCATATGAAGAATAGTTGTACAATGATCACCGCAATCAATTGTAGAGGATTTTCTTCTTTCTTGAACTCATTGGTATTAGCTCCCATCCTCCCCATCATTTACTCAACGTGATTAGCTAAAAACGCACCTGCAGTGCTTGACCTCATCAACATAACAAAGGACAATTTATTCCCAAGTAGGATTACATACACAAGTATAGGAGTTAGAATTTACATAAGACTTTTTTTTTTGTTTTGGGGGCAGACACACATAATAGCAACCATGAAAACGTGTACCATATCAGGTTACATCCTTGATTAAGATCCTTTTCAGTGTTTTCTCATAGAATTTAGAATAAAATGAAAACTTTTCACCCTTATCTTCAAGGCCCTAAACGACTGATTTCCATGGGTAATCTATGCCTTCATCTGACACTATAGTCAGCTTTGTTCAATATTCTCCAGCCAGGGTGCTTTCTCTGTCTTGGATAAATACATCAAACTCTCACTTTTTTAAAGTAAAATTCAGAGTACCATGGGGTCTCAAGTCACCTTTTTCAGTGTTTAAGTAGCCGCTCCCTCCCCTTTCAATCACGCTCTAGCTTGTTTAAATATAGTCTGAAATTATTTTATTCATTTTTCTTTTTTACTGTATCCCTCACAAGAATGCAAACTCCGTGAGCACAGAAATCCTGTCTGCCCACTTCACTATGCCCCTGGAATCTAGCAGTGACAACGCAAAGCAGATGCCCAATAGACCTTTTAAATGAATGAATGAAACAAACACTGCAGTGGGTTATGTGACAATGGGCTGTGTGTGTGTGTGTGTGTGTGATTTTAAAGCATATGTCTTCTTACTAGAGTGCCAGCGACTTCAGGGCAAGCCCAGACCAGTGTCTGTACCCAGAAGAGTAGTTGAAGGAATTGTTCATTGACCCAATAAACATAACCATCCTCTCCGATAATAAATATTCAGAACCCTCGTTTGATCTTGCTTTCACTTCTGGTCTCCTAACAGGGCTGTGTTAAAACTCTGAAGACTGAGGCTTAGAGGTTAGGTGACTTCTTCAAGAACAAGGGCGAAGAAGAGATGAGGAAGGACCCCTGCGTTCCTCCTTTCACAAGGGCACACTCCTCTCTCCCGGGTCTCCATTTCACCACACGTCAGAGCCTGGAGCCCAAAGATCAGGACTCGGATCTCGCGAGCGTGAGGGCTCGGTCACGTGCTCGGCGCAGGGCGCTGGCCGCGCAATGCACTGTGGGTCTTGTAGTTTCACGGCTGGGCGCGGAGCCTGGAGGGCGCGTTGCATGGCGGGAGGTTCGAACGCGAGAGAAGCCCCTCCTCCTGAGGAAGCTGGGCGCCGGTAGTTTCTGCCTCGCCCGCGGCCCATTGGGCGCGCTGGGTTTCCGGAAGCGCGGGAGTCTCGATTTGTGCGGCTTCGCCGAGACACCTGTGGATGCGCTCCCTCCCGGTAGAGGCTTCGTTCCCCGCAGCCATTACGGCCTTCGCAGGCGAAATGGCTCCGGGTGGCAATGGAGGGGCCGCCGCACGCAGAGGCTGCCCGTAGGCGGAGACCTTACCGCCCTTGGAGTCGCTGGGGCCTGCCCTTTCTTCTTCCCCGTCACCCTGCCCGCCACGAGAATGAGCTCGGCCGGGGTCCCCTCCTTCGAGAAGGAGCATTTCTGGATGTATCTGCAGGCGCTCGGCTTCGAGCCGGGCCCGGCGACCATTGCCTCAGGAAAAATTGTGTCGCTCACGCACTTCGGACCGTAAGGCTGGGGCCGGCGGGCGGGGGACCTGTGGGGGGGCACGCGGGGTGACCCGCCCAGTGGCCGATCCCGCCCGGGGGTTCGTCCGATGGGGCTGAGCGGTTGCTGCGAGCCGGGCTCTGGGGACGAAAGCTTCCCCCTCCCCTCCCCCCCGAGGCTGCTAGCCTGGTGACAGGTCGAAATTCATTACAGAACCAGAAAGATCTGGGGTGTCTGATAATTTGCTCCGGCAAAAATTACACCCGTGTGGGGGTACCTCTACACGGCCACACGCGGTCGCTGTGAGGCCCAAATCGACGGAAGACACCCCCTCCTTCCCGCCCAGGGGTCCGCAACAAAGCGGGCAGCCTTGGTGGTAGTGGGTGCACAATAGTTGCGGATGCCTTTAGGACTCCGGTGGAGGGAGCCTTTGGGGCGGTGCTTTAGGACTTTTCACTGTTTGAATTCGGAATCAAGGGCGTGCCCCAGTTACAACAACAACCACACTTAAAAAATAAGAACGAAAGCCCCTTCCCCCCGTGTGTCTCTTACGTTTAATGCAGAAATGCTGTTCCTGTGTCTTTACGTCTGAAGCCGAGGCCGTATCTGTGATCATCGGCCAGAGCCCCGGTGGTGTAGGGGTTCCCAGTTGGGCTGCAAACCCACAAGGGCAACAGAAACTACCAGTTGCTCCTCGGGAGAAAGCTGAAGCTTTCTACGCCCCTAAAGAGTTGTAATCTTGGAAACCCACGGGGGCAGTTCTGCTCTGCCCTGTAGGGTCGACCTTGAGTTTTTTTGTTTTTTTGGTTCAGTTATCACCACTACAGGTCAAGGGGATTCATAGGCCATCTCTCATTCTCCTGAGCTTATCGAGTTTTGTAAATGATGTTATTTTTTTGTTCGTGTTGTTTTGTGCTCAGAAAAATTTTGGTCTGCATGACTGGATGAGAGTGAGAAGCAGGAGAAAGATGGGGCATTCTCCTGAGAAGATTTACAGACTCGGAAGCCCAAGGGACAGTTCCACTCTTGTCCATAGGGTTGCTGTGAGTCAGAATTGACTCGAAGGCTGTTGAGCTTGGGAGAGTTTTGGAGGGGCCTGAGCTATGGAGGCGCAGGAAGTGAAAAGAAGTCATTCGTGTATTTGTTCATTCAGCAAGTTTATTGATTGATTTTGTTTTGGTTTTGAATTAGGTGAGGGTTTACAGATGAAATCATCATTTTTACATTCAACAACTTATCAAACCTCCCCATGGCTTCATTCAGCCACCGATTTGAATCTTGGTATGCAGGGGTAAACAGAATAGAACTAAACTTTTCCCTTTGGCAGTTTCAGTCTCGTGGACGAAGAGGCCTTCAATCAATATCTTCTTATAATTTATTATAAGTACGGGAGGGAAAATAACTGGAGCCCTGAAGTATTTACACATTGGGCTACAATCCTCAAAGTCCACTGTTCAAAACCACCACTGCTCCGCTGGAGAAAGATAGCCACGGACTCTCAGGGGCAATTCTACTCTGCCCTGTTGGGTTGGTGTGAGTTGGTATTGACTTGATGGCATTGAGGGAAAAAGAAACCCAACAGGTTCAAGAGCTGATTAGGAGATAGAATGGATGGAGCGTCATTTGTGCTCCTTGAGGAACAGAGACATTTTAAAGATAACAATGGTTCTCTGTTTCTTGGGCCAGGAGAATTTAGGGACGAGAAAAATAATACTAAGTCAGAAAAACAGATTTTATTCCTTGGAATCACATTTGATGCCATTCTTGGTTCCTTATAGCTGTGTGACATTTCTTACAGGTCTCTCTATGTGCATATCCCCCTTCATTGTTTGAAGAGAATGAAAAATATCAATTTATGTCAAACTGTTGCACAGCTCTTGATGATTTTTAGGTTTATTAACCTTGTTTTTTCTCCTGATTCTATTTTTTTTTTAAACCGGTAGGAATATGTTTGATAAGCTGAACCGTGATGCCTTTCACATAGTTTCCTATTTCTTGTTTCAAACGCTGGACCAGTCTCTTACCAAAGAACTTTTCAAGTAAGGAAGACGTTTTTATATTTTCTTAAGTAGTCATTCTCAAATTTGAAAATGGACTATGTCTTGATAGAAACCAGAATTTTCAATTTGGCCTTTGATTATTGTTTTAAATGAATGCTGCAAAATGTAGATTTGAGTCTTAGAATTCAGTGCTTAATGTTTATAGATCTGAATAGTTTCTGCTGGTTCTTATCTTAAAGTCAAGGTGCCTTGATGGTACAATGGTTAAAGCACTTGATGGGTAACCTCTAAGGTCAGGGGCTTGACCCTATTGGCCCTTCTGCTGGAGAAAGAGGTAAAGATTAGCCTTGGAGACCATATGGGCAATTCTACTCTGTCCTATAAGATTGCTGTGGATTGGAATTAACTTTATAGCAGTGGTTTTTTTGGGGTGGGGAGAGGATCATAAAATCACATGTCACAATCACTGGGTGATAAGATAGATTTAAAAAAAAAAAGATTTATTAGCATGTCACCTGTCTTACAATTCAATCATATCAAGATGAGTTGTATAATTATCACCACAGTCAATTGTAGAACATTTTCTTCTTTCTTGTACTTATTGTTATTTATGATTAGATAGATTTTCTTTTGCAGAATTAGTTCTTCCTATTTTTATGACCTTAATTATTAAGTTTAACAATCAACTAGTGCCTATCCATACACTCAGTTATATCATACTTTTTAATTTTTTAAAAAATATCATACTTTAAGTGTTCCATGCCTCAATCCTTTTCAACCCTTTTCATATAAGCATCGTTACTTAAGGTTTTTTACTTTGCAGTTCATTGTAAATTTTTACTTTTGCCATTGACATATATCAAGTGTAGATTACTACAGGAAAAATCATGCCTATTGGATTTAACCTATTAGTCTATATTGTTGAGTATTCAGTAGTTTAAGAAGGAAATAAAGAACATGAGCACTCAATAGCCTTGATTCCAAATTCTTTTCCATGTGATTTGGGTTTCTTTTTTCTGAACAAGTATTTAAAAATAATTTTTTTCTCTTTTATTAAGGCATGCATTTTTATTTATTTTGCTGTAGTGTAAAATTCCATTAAAAGATATAACTAATGGTTTGTTTGGTTCTTATTTTTTAGAACATTGTGGTAAAATTAATGGTATATAACAAAACATTGACCATTTCAATCATTTTTACATGTACAATCCAGTGTCATCAATTACATCCCCTATATCCAACCATCTCCACTTCCAACCATCACTACCTCCATTTCCACAATTTTTTCCCCATCACCTTTAATAGAAACTCAGTACCCCTTAGGCAGTGACACCTGTTTATTAAATTAAGAAACTGCAGAAACTTGTAGGAGGAGTAAAAAGTCAGTCCTAGGCCTTCCAACCACAAAATAGTACTGTTGCTACTTCTGCCTTTTAGTCTAATATTTTTCTATGCACATTAACTTTTTCCTATGAATATCGGACATCTTTTATATTGTATAATTATTAAAAAAACATGGACCTTAGTAATTATGTCTCAGAATAAAAATTTAGGGTGAAAGTCTTCTCGGGAAAATAGTAAGTTATAAAGTGTAGTATTTTGACTAAAGCTGAATCAAGACTTTCTTTTTATAGTCTTATGTCTTGTTTAGTCATAAGAGAGTAGCACTCAAAGCAGGCTGCAATTACAGTACTTCGGTTTGTGGAAGTACTGCCATTATCCTGCTGAGAGAAAAAGCCATGTTGGCCGGCTCTGGTTTTGCCTCTTCAGGTGAGATCATGACCGGTTAGCACGTACAATTATGAAAAACCAAGGACAAGGGAACAACAAGTGATCCAAATTAGTGGTGAGGAGGGTATAGGAGGCCTGGTAGGGCGTGATCAAGGGTAATGTAACCAAGAGGGATTGCTGAAACCCAAATGAAGACTGAGCATGCTACTGGGACAAGAGGAAAGTCAAAGGAAATAGAGGAAAGAGCTAGGAGGCAAAGGGCATTTATAGAGGTCTAAATAAAGGCATGTGCATATGTAAACATTTATATATGAGGATGGGAAATAGATCTATGTGCCTATATTTATAGGTTTAGTATTAAGGTAGCAGAAGGAAGGACATTGGGCCTCCACTCAAGTACTCCCTCAATGCAAGAATACTTTGTTCTATTAAACTGGCATTCGATGATGCTCACCTTCCTGACACAATTGCTGAAGACAAAGCAGGTGAATAAGCAAATGTGGTGAAGAAAGCTGATGGTGCCCAGCTATCAAAAGATATAGCATCTGGGGTCTTAAAGGCTTGAAG